AAAATATGTCAAAAGAAAAAACAGAAATACATTTTTAATATTAATAATTTATTACTATGCGATTAATCAAGATTATTTTTTGTGTAGTCCTCTGCCCCCTGTTATCAGGTGTATCTGATTGTGTACAATAGCATTTTGAGCAAAGTTTTTACCATTAAATTATGCAAAAGGTGTCAGACGCAAAACATTTCAGAAACCGTATGTATCAGATATGACACATTTGGCATTACAGGGTTAAACACAGATTGAAATCATAGACAACCCACATGTCAGTTCTTTGACCTTTCCAGGGGCTCTCAGGCCAGGTTAGAGGGCCCCAGGTCAAAAGCCCAGGTTCCTGGAGCGGGCAGTAGGTGGACCCTCTTCAAAATTTCTTTAGAAATGTTCTAATTCCGCGACTTATAGTTCTCCCGTTACCGTCACAATTTTTGGCACCTAACTAGTCCCGTGCGGTTCAAGGGATCAGGCACAACAAACACCCCCACCTCTGAACCTACCACGGGAAGCGTGCTGGTATCTCTCTCTCTCATTAGTGCTGGCATTTTCGAATAAACAGCAAAAAAAGGCGAAACACCGTCCCACAGGAAATTAATGGGAAGGCAGAAAAACAAGCCCAAAACATTGGCCGCTTCCGGGCCTAATCGCTCGGCCCCACGACCTCTGATAAACCTCATTTGAAGATTAAATGGGTCATGAGAAATGGGCCTAAAAAATACTGGAGCCACGAGCCCTGATCCCACACCGTTTGGCCGCAATCACTGGTGACATTTTGGGAAAAATCAGAAAAATCCCCAAATGTCCTCTCCACTCTACTGACATCATCACAGGCTCTAACTTTCCAGTGGGAAAAATGACACAAAAAGGCCAAACTCCTTCCTCTTACGCCCAAACCGGAGCGCCGAACGGAACCAACCCTAACCCTAACCTAACCCTAACCCTAACCCTGAGGGTTTCCTGCCTCCATATTGTTCTGTTCTGGTCACCACACTTTGTCAACCCAGGCTTGTCATACATCTGGTC